TTCTACCCATCCAGTCCAGTCTGGCAGGATGGGCATGCCCTGGGGCCCATCAGCCAAGGAATGTCGGCTGGCAGGGACCAGGAGACATGCCTTTTCCACTGTAGCACCTGCCCTCTGGAGCATCCTCCCTCCTGAGATTAGGGTGGCCCTGACCCTTTTGGCTTTTTAGAAGGCCTTGAAGACCTGGCTTTATGCCCAGGCCTGGGGCCCCAAGCATGTGGAGGGCCCCATTTCATGGTTGTGCTGATACCAACGGTTTTTTAAGATCTCTTGGCTGTATTTATATTTTTTTGTACTGTTTTAAATGTTGGCTGTTTTTATTGTTGTTAGCCACCCAGAGTCACTGGTCTGAGATGGGTGACTATATAAATTGAATAAACAAACAATCTAAAAGCCTTTACAATTTAAAAGGCATTAGCTGCAGTCATAAACTCAGTGGCTATATTTCTGCACAGAATTGGGTTCAAGTAATTTTATTTGGTATCCAGAATGCTACAACTAAATAGGTATGTGAACACATATACAGTATACTGGAGAAGATTCATAGATGACAATTATGCACATCATTTTATTAAAAAGGAATCAGTAGAGGTTCAGTGCTTCACTATAGCTAAGCAAAAAAATCATGTTTCTCTGGCTCTGCCTTAGCAATCCAGCTGTCAGCTTGGAGAGGAACACTCGTTAAGATGGGTGGCCATATAAATTGAATAACTAACTAACTAAATAAATAAATAAATAAATAAAATAAATGCAGCCCTGTTAGAGCTCTGGCTTTGCCTGTGCACACAAAAGCCCAATCCCTGTCAAACTGTTCTGTGGGCTTTCCTCCCATTTTGCCTGGCAAGGCAGCTGTTGTTTTGTCCAGGCAGAGCAGGAAAAATGTGAAGGCTTAGCTTATCTAAACCCATGGTACAGCTTTTGTTGTGTGCAAAATTTTAACAAGTAGCCCACATGAACTGGATTGAACTGGCTAGATAACACCCTGAACATAATCTTGATCATAAATGCGATCATAACCCCTATTAGTTTTTGAAAATAAGAGAACCTCTAGAATAGATTTGGGACTTGTAAACGGGTAGAGATGTACATAGCAGATAATGAGTGGAGTGGAAAGTTTCTTATTCATTGTAGTCAATAGATCACAGCCTTGCTTTTCTCTTTCATTTTGAAAAGAAACCCTTTTCTGTTTTTGTGCCAATCCAATCCCCTGTTTTGGATGCTCAGTGGCACCCATGGCACTAGTGTGTCCATTGATATTTCTCTTGGAGCTTGCCAGACTACTTATCCCGCTTGACTTCTACATTTAAAGAAACACCTATTTTATTTTTTAAAAATAAGTTGACATGCAGAAATAAAAAATGCCAGCTTCCAGCATTTAAAAGTGTATCTGGGGTCCAAATGGGCATCTTAGAAAATTGAAATTTGGGGACAGAGCTTAGTTTGGAAGCATGCCACCTGCACAGAAGAAGGACAGAAGGTAGCAGGGGTAGCAGGGAGCATTTTGGAGAGAGTAGCGTGGGGATAGCAGGTTACATTCTAGTAAATCATTGTTTTGTAAATGGGTATTTATATTATCACCGTTTTGTGAATGGACAAGCCCCTACAAGGCAGTCAATGTACAAGAACATCCACAACTAGTACTTACAATTATAAACATGCTAGCAAATTCAAAGGTTTGGTGACCCTGATTAAGTGCTCCAATAATAACAACAACAACAAAGCAAAATATAACAAAACAATACTACAATTGATCAGAGGAAATAAGTCATTAGAGACCAGCTGAATGTTTGTAAAATTAAAGCATATGCTATGTTTCTGTGAAACATGGAGAAGTTTCATGCATCAATCTTTTTCTTGACTAGGTTTTGAATGTGGTAATTGTTCTGCCATAGAATTGCTCCCCCACATACATGTAACAGTATCCGAGTGCAAAATTGCAACTTTACTTGGAACAGCTTACATCCTGCGACAGTACCTTTATTATTAATTAATTAATTAATTAATTAATTATCAAACTTGTATGCCGCCCATCTCCCCCAATGGGTGACTCTGGGCGGCTCACAATAATAACACCATCACAATTAACACTATCAAACAACAACATCTGCCTATCCCAGTTACTTGGGAAAGACTTGATAGGTGGATAAAAATGCCAAATCAAGTCTAAACATCTGGCTGATTACGTGACCAGCAATAATAATTTAAATAATAGATTTGGAGGCCATCCTGGGCAGCTTACACTTAAAAAATAGAAAACAATTAAAAAATCGTATGCACCCAGACAGATCACACTTCATATACTATAAAACACAACCAACAGAGGCTCCACAAGCACTACTCCAAGGTCTGGAAGAACAGTCAAGTTTTAAAAGACTTCTGGAATATCAACTGGATGGGAGCTATGCAGATTTTATATGTTAAATATCTCAATGTGCATGACAGGACAGTATAAATGTATCATTGTGAATATGCCTACTGAGGCGCGTTAGTCAATAGTCTTGCTCAAATATTGAAAGTAATGTGGATTGTGAACATGAAAATGGTGAAGTGTAGTTTCACCTTGAGATATGTTCTGCATCTGCATTTCTAGATGTTTTATTGTGACTGTTGCTGTTATCATCATTGTCATCATCATCTTACCACCTTAGGAGGAAATGCAGAAATCCCTTACCGGGAGTGGTATAAACCCTTGGTATGGTTCTGGATCCTTGTGGGCCTCGCATATTTTGCTGCTGTCCTCAGTATGATTGGAGATTGGCTGCGGGTTCTTTCAAAGAAGACTAAAGAGGAGGTAACTATTGGCAAGTAGCTTATATTGCAGGAGTTTTCATGTCATGTTAAGGCTGCCTTCCATTTGCATTTTACCCTGCCAAACCAGTACTCAATATAGGCCATAACAAATTTGAAGAAAAAAATATCCAGTATCTGAAAGAAGAGAATAAAACAGAGACAATCCCAGGAGATTTAAAAACAACATTAAAAACAATTAGATGTGTATTATAACTTTATAAAGAAGTAGATTATAGGCTGAAGGTCACATCTAATTTTGAATGACATGCTAAAGGCTGCACTCAGAAACTGACATTTATTGGGTAGAAAAATTCAAATTGATTTTCATCTCATGAGAAATTGGCACATTAGAGTAATTCTTACTTTTAAAAAGCTGATAATAGTTAAAAAAAACAACCAATCATGAGCCTATACGGGTATTGTAACTCACAATCAACTGTTAAGTAATGATATATTTAAAAATTTTGAGATTTTACAAAAGGACTACAATTCACCTAGAAAGGTTGAATGGCAAGGCTTGGAGTCAAAACACTTGTTATATTCATTGTTTGGCCCTGATGACCTTGCAAGACTCTGAAAATTCAGAAGAATTGCTTGTGTAAGAGATGGTCTTTGTTGAATCGAGACCCATGATTTTGTATTACCAATGTAAAAAAAAAATAATCAAAAACTAAATTTGGAGAATATATAAGAAATTTGGAATAGAGAATTGGATAATCCTATATTGTTCAGTCAGTGACTTGAGGTTTTAAGAAGTGTTAGATATGTTTGTTGTGACCTAAAACTCAGCAAAAATTCTCTTTAGGGTCTCTTGGAGACCACAGAGAATCTTTGTAAAAAAGTTAGCTCTGTTCCTTTCTATGTTAGTGTTGTAATAAAATTGAAGATTTTGGTACAGATGTTATGGGCGTGTCTGCTTGTAATTCTTTATTGGCTAGGCATTATTATTATGGTGGGCCAAATTCTAAGGCAGTTATGGATTAAAATGTTAATGTTTTGTTAAATTATACCCCATAATTCTGGAATTTTTCAGTCTAAAGAACTTAGCATATATTGAATATGGACTGTTGTGAAAAAGTGAGTATGTGCTCATGGAAAAACGCTGGTGTCCCAGACTCTAAATTAGCTTAACAAAATTAGTCAATTCTTAGAGTTTGAATCAGCTATGTATTAAAGGAGAGCCAAGATGGACAATATGATTTGTATGGTCTAGGTTTAATTGAATCATATTTTTTTAAAAAAGAAGAATACATAAAGGTGTGTGTGTGTGTGTGAGAGAGAGAGAGAATGAATGAATGAATGAATGAATGAATGAATGAATGAATGAATGGTATCAGCCCAAATCAACCCACTGTAAGAAGAAGCCCTCTTCATTGAAGATTATGCACTATAATGTACCATACTGGTCCAGCACAGGCTTGTGGCTAGATGTTTGTTGACATCCCAGTCTAGGGCTAAGAGAGAGTATCTGGCCCAAAGTCAGCTTCTATCACTAAGGGAGGTTTAGAACCTGGGTCTCCCTATTCCTAGTCCAGATATACTCATTCTTAATGGGTGCACACGCACACACACACTTAATATTAATTACAGTTTAGGTGGGGAGGTATGAGGAGGTTTTTAGCTTAGTTTTATTTTTTGGTTTCCCCCTATTATTTTACATGCTATTAATGCAATATGGAAATAATTGTTTATTATATAGGAAATGAGTGTTTATATGGACAGAAACATGTTATTCAGAAAACTGAATATCAAACAAATAAAAATAGGCAACCATCAGGAATCAAATGAATACCTGATTCTGCTAATTGTTTTCTTTATTTAATCTGCAACTGGGGGAACAATTGTTTACTTATGTACTGAACCAGTTTATATGGCTGCCCAACTTGCAGATTGTGACTCTGAGCAGCTAATATAGGATTGAAACAGAAAAAAATGAAAAATAATCAACAGGACTAAAAAGAGCAAAGAATATAATACAACAGAGGCCAACACAGTGATAGCCTCAACCAGTACAAAAGAAGCTGGGCCAATGCCTGGGGAAAGACCCAGGTTTTCAAGGCCCTATGGAAGGTCAACAGGGTTGGGGCCATCCAGATCTCAAGGAGTATGCTTTTCATAAATAACTCTTTAATTAATTGTGTTTTTTGAATTTATTCTGAAATTTCCTGTTATTTTACTTGACTTTGGTTTTGTGCAACAGGTTGGTGAAATAAAAGCCCATGCAGCAGAATGGAAAGCCAACGTGACTGCAGAGTTCAGGGAAACACGGCGGCGGCTAAGTGTGGAGATTCATGACAAACTTCAGAGGGCAGCCACCATTCGGAGCATGGAGCGCAGGCGTTTAGGTCTGGACCAGAGAGCCCACTCCCTGGATATGCTCTCTCCAGAGAAACGTTGTGTCTTTGCTGCCTTGGGCAACAGTCATTTCAAGGCTTCATCTCAGGAAAGCATCAACAACAAGCCTAACAACCTGCGCCTTAAAGGGTCAGAGCAATTGAGCAAACATGGTCAGGGGGCGTCTGAGGACAACATCATCAACAAGTTTGGTTCTTCATCCAAGCTGACCAAAAGGAAAAACAAAGACCTGAAAAAAAGTATCCCAGAAGATGTGCGAAAAATATATGAGACCTTGCGGCACTACTCCTTAGATGAGGAGGAGAAGAAGGAGGAGGAGGAGGAGGACTTGGAGAAGGTGTGTCACTCAGCGCATTCTAGTACTGCCATTCTTACCAATTGTATTGAACAACACATGGACCTAGAGAATGGCATGCTCCCCACTGAAACCAAAGAAAGGGAACATGAAAACAAATCATTACTTGAAGACAGGAATTAAATGTAGACCATTCTTTGACTCTAATGAGCCAGTGTTAGTCTTTTATATATGTATATGATATATAGATATATGTATCAAGACACGTGCCTTATACAGACCTAGTTCAGTCTGAATTACATAGCATCCTAGAATATTTCACTGTGCCATAATGACCGAAGCTTGCTCTGCCAAAAGAAATCACAGATAATACACTGGAGAATGGCATCTGAAGGTGGAATATTGACACCGTCAGCCTACATATGCTTACAAGGGGGGGGAATTCAAAAGGATGATAGTAATGCAGCTGGAAAGGTGAACAGCATGGGAGGAATGTGTGAGAGCAGAGGCAGACACATTAGAAGATCATTTGGGGAAAGGAGGAAATAGAGCTGGCATGAGTCTTTCCAGCGGATCGCAAGTTCCTTCTCTCACTGTTGAATACTTTTGATTGAAACATAAAATAAGAGGCTGAACTGTCAACTTTAAGGCAGTGTTTCTGTTTTGGCATAGGATCCAAATATGAGTGTTCCCTCATTTTATGTTTTGAAAAATCAATGAGCCTTCAGTGATCCTTGCTCCCCAAATTAAAATGTTTTTATACACAAGAAAGGCATCTGGATGCTGGGGAGATATCAGTAAAGACAGCAGAATGTCCTTTTCAGAAACATGAAAAGAAAACACGTAAAAACAGCTCATTGTGAATATTTATCATGAAAAATGAAAAATTGGGAAAAATGAAGAAAAACTCTGCCTTTGGAAGAAATTCATCTTATAAACTAATACTACGCTGGGGGAAAAAAACTTCAAAATTGAGCAACTGCAGTGTTTTAGGAAGGAAAATGTAATCTTGTGCTTGGGTCAATAAGCAGTGAACTTCTTTTTAAAAAAAAATTGCGATCATACTTTCTATCCCTGAAGGAGCTTCAGTTTTAACACTGTAATATGCTAAAAATAGAAAGTGAAACCTTTGCATGATGTCAACAGTTTGCTATTCTCTGTAGCAGAAATTCATTAAAAAAGACATGTGCATATACAATGTATAGTAAAGGGTGGGGCAACTTCCAAACCTCAGGGCTTTGTGTCCCTATTGGTGGTTAAGCTTAAGGTAAGAGACAGACAGCTGTCCAAAATTCTATGATGGTGACAAGGAAAGTGGTGGTAATATTTGATTAACTATTTTAAGTGCTTAGAGCTTTAAGTGCGATTAATAACTTCATATTGTGAAGTGTTTAATCACCTATTTTTCAAATACCTTCCTTTAAAGTTTAAGGTTTTTTTTTTCTCACTTGATTTAGTTTTTGTTCCTTTCTTCTTTCCACAAAAACTAAGCAAATTCACTTTTGGTGTTATAGCAAACAAGAAAAACACTATTGCTTACATGTTTTTGGCCTTTCCATGAATAAATATGGAAAGCACAAATCATTTCAGATTTCAAAACAGATGTTAAATGAAGATGATAGGAGAGAGTTGATTAGTTAGAATTACTTATAATGCTTGGGTATCTCTCTCTCTCTCTCTCTCTGTATGTGTGTATGTGGGATGAGGAAAGATTTTAAAAAATGCATTCTTGGTGAGGGTTTGAATGGAAATTTGCTTGGAATACACATGCAGATTGACATATATTAGCATCTTCAGATACCATTCAGAGAACATCTGTAAATACTATAGATTTCCCCAAATACTATTTGTAATGTTTTTAAGGGATACCAAAGCCATTGCTGCACTTTTTAATTTCCCTGCTTTCATATGATCAGCCAAACGTAATTTATGGAGAATGTATTGGTAATGTCATCATTTCATGCATCTCAGTCATTTGGACCAGGCTATAGTTAAAGAAATCCTTAACTCTTTCTTTCTTTGCTACTCCTGTCTAATCCATAAAACATGAAGATGTAGACCTGGGATCAGATCCTTGTTCAGCTACAGAGCTTACTGATTGCCTTGGGAATATAATTCTCTCTCGATTTCCAAGGTTGCACAATGATTATCAGAAAAAAATTAAATGAACTGAGAGAGACACATAATGTACCATCTTGATCACCTTGGGGAAAAGATGTGACAGATTATACTTCTTTAATGTATTGCCCACCTGATAGGTTGAAATAAAGGTCCCATCGTCTCAAAAAGTTCAAAAGAATGAACGTTTGGTATGTGGGTGTTGGACATTGTGTTCCATGATACCAAGGGTTCCAGGTTAAGGAAAGCCGCAACTGATAAATAATGGAACAGAGCCTCCACCATCAATTCCCCCAAAGAATGCTCATGCTGTGCTTGTGTCTTGGCTCACATTGAGAAAGAACACTTGGAGCAAAGAAGAGAACTGTAAGAAAACCAGAGTTGCTGCTAATGGAGGAAGAAATGTTTTTAAATTACCCCAGAGCCAGACTACACATAATTTAAAATTGGCTTTGTATAAATCTTAATCTGATCATCATAGGTGCCAAAGAATCCTATGCAGGACAGTGTGCAGGAAAATGGAGGAGAGGTGGAATGTGCTGTCCTCTGCTCCAGGTATAGAAAATAACGATGTGGGCTGCTTGGGAAATGCAATTGAAGGCTATAGGGGAGATAGTCCTCTATTCCCAACAGCTAGTAACATTTGTCAGATTATTACATTTGCTGGATGAATCCAGAGGCCTAGTTAGTCCAACATTCAGTTCCTGCCTTTGCAAACCAGATGCTTATAGGAATCCCAAAAGTAGGACATGGGAACCATCAACTCCTATAGCTTGTGCTCCCCATGAAAGTTTTTTTTTTTTAAATTTACCATGCCATAATTATGATGAAAATCTATTTCTCACACAGAGACATGCACACAAGCTATATTTGCCTTAGGAGAGAATTCAGTCCTGGTGCCGTGACATGTGAAAAATGGATCAGCCTACCTGTGTTCACCACAGTGCATAGTGGCTTTCAGTTTAAAGGAATACATGAAATAGGTTCATACTGTTTAATGATCCTCAATTTGGTCTTCTGCTGCATGAAGAAGTTGCAGTGCACGGCAAAGGAGGCACTTGGGACTGGATATAGAAACCCTTGCAGTCAGAATGGGATGATTTGCTGCTAGGCTGATATTTTCTGGACAAGCAACCTGAAGCCAGCTGGTCCAGAATATAACAGATAAAAATATAGTAATGCTGTTACATTCATAGGTTAAAAATGCAGAGTGATGTCACTTCAAATGCACACTTTTAAAAAAGGCAACCCCTCCCCCAACTTGCCTTTACAACCCTTGAAATCTGTGGATTTATAGAACCAAGACAGCTACTAAATGCTGTCCAGTTGCCCTTCACAAGCAGAGACTGGGAATTACATTATTTTAACATGCAATCTTGTATGGTAGCCTTGAGAAGGGAATACAGACTAATCTGACCTGATCGTATGAAACTGATATTTTAAATGCCTGATCTTTCAAACTTTCAGACTTGGAACATTATGTAATATTTTAGGAAAATAAAGGTAAAGATTTGGTTAAATTGAACATGACTTCTGGTGCCTGCGTGGACACGTCAGTAGCTTTTTTAGTAACATTATGCGTCTGGGATGTATTTTGGTGTACCAGGCTGGTCTGCAGCCCTGGGGTCTCCCATCCAGGTACTAACCAAGTCAACCCCACTTACCTTTTTTTCAAGAGAAGCCAAGGTGACTTTAGGAAAACACTTACTTCTACATGCGAGATGCTATTAAGCAACCTGTTTCTTCTTATTGGAGGTGATCCTCAAAAATGTATCAGATCAAGCTAGGAAACAATTGCAAGCATGTTGTAGGAAGTTAAGTAAATAAATAGAGAAACAAAACAAAACACAAAATACTTTTGTGAGTATTAAACAAGTACTATTGTTTAACTGCTGAAAACTTCAACAAGTTTGGTGGGAGAGACACATTTCTGGGAAGCAAAATTTACCATCTCCCTCTCTCTTCAATTCCTTCTCATGATTGCTAGTTGGTATGGTCCCATTTTTTCTCCCTAGTGATATTGGTTTTCCCAACCTGGGAGCCTTTAAGATGTGCAGTCTCCATTCCCTAGAATTCTTAGTCATAGTCATGCCCACTGAAATTCTGGGAGCTGAAATCCACATGCCTGGAGAACAACCAATTGGAGAATTCTGGTGCTCTAGCATTATTCCTGTAGACCTAAAAAGGGGCGGGGGATAGCAATTACCAAAGAATTCTAGAGGCATCCAGTGAGTTTCCAATTCATCTTAAGTATAAGTTTAAAAGCCCTCTCAGTTTAACTGCTTCTAGATGGAGGTCCTTTATGGCTCAGTCCTACAGATTCCATGTTTTCCCATGATGAAATTCAGACAGTCTGCATCAGAATTTTTCCACTAGATAACTGACCAGATCTAAACCTGCTTAGTATCATTAAAATTGGTGCTGATCCTCTTGCATCGAGAAATAAAGATTAATAGATCCAAATTAGTCTAAAATGGAATAGATCCAGATTAGTCTAAAATGAACTTATAACTGGTGTCATAAAGCTTGATTTTGTAAAAATGTTAATCAAAGCCAATTCCTGACTTTCAAACATCAGGTTACAAGGGAGGCAAAGGGAAAGAAGCAGTCCCAAGGCGCTGGAGCAGGGCCAACTTTAGGCTAAGGCCAAGTAGGCATTGGCCCAGGGTGCCAAAGCTTTGGGAACCTGAGCATCATTCTAAAAATGCAAGTCTTCACGTTGGTGGGAGGTGGCACCATCAGTCAACGTAGCCCAGGGGCACCATGGACCCTTGAGCTGGCACTGGGCTAGAGTGTAGGCCCTTGGCAGTTGCTTATCTCCAATGAAAGTTGACGCTTGCCTTAGCATCTGCTTAAGTCAGGGCATGCAACATTCTCTGTGCTAAGGACAACATTTGGCATTTGAATGGTTTGCCAAAAACTACCTCCCAACCTGTGATGGGATTAAGACAAAACTTAAATTTTATTTAATTTCATTTATGTATATTTAATTTAATTTAATTAAATGTAGTGAATGCGATTACTTTCAAGTCAGGCAGTTAACAATTTTCCCCATCTGTTAATCTAAAACTTAAAATTTAATAA